GGGGGGGGGGGGCTTTTATACAGGTGATTGTCTTGGACAGGTGAGAGTTAGACCAGGTTTGATTGTACTTTGTTTCACAGTTTACTCTTAAAATTGTCAGACCAAACAGAGGTTTGCAGTTGCCAGCGCCGTAAAACACTAACCAAAAGAAAAACAAAAAACAAAAACAAAACAAAGGGGTTAGTCCTGAGCAAGATACTCAGAATAGACAGATGACCACACCGTGCTCTAAACATTAATACTTTGACCCCCCTCTCTACATCTTGAAGTGTGGCCTGCACCGATTTTACATTGTGGTTTTCAAACTTTGCTGTTAACTTTACAGTTGCTAATCTGGGTAGGTTAGCATTTTGATAATAATATTATGTTGGTGGAGCCCGGTTTCTGGGTTTGCAGTGCCTGAAGTGCTCGCACAATGGCGAAAGTCTGGATTTTGGGGTGTTTGCTGAAGGCATGATTGATTTTCGAGTAAAATGTCTTTCTTAATTACATTGTTTGTTTGTTTGTTTGTCTGTTTGTTTGTTTGTTTGTTTGTTTTAACCACCGATCTTTTTTTTTTTTTGGGGGGGGGGGGATATCGGAAAGCTCATAGTTTACTAATATAACATACCAGTAGTGGCTTCCGCTGGATAAATTGTAGGTATTGTACAAACCAAAAGAAAACATACAAATAGATCTAAAAATGAGAACGCGCATGTTTTTAGTGCTCATTGGACCAAAATCAACAATGGCTACACTAACGTGATCTGAGCGCTGCATGCTATACACCGATGTTTAGGTACTATTGATAAGTTGTATCACAGAAATATTGAGGATAGCGTTCAAACCGATAATAAACTCTAGTTCATTTATCCGTTAAAAGCAGGGACGTTCGAAGTGAACTTTTGCAACCATTCCTATTAACGGTCTAAAACGTTTTCATCTTAACGATATCTATACTTGGCATCAATAACTATAATAGTTTGACGAAATAGTAATACGGGATGCCCATTACGGCTGGATCGAACTGAAAACAAACACGTTTGTTTTGGAGGCGACCGAGTCGGGCGATCGGCCTGATCCGCCGATCCCATCTGTAGTGGGTGCACCCTGTAAAAGGCTATATTATAACGGAGAGGAAACCAAGGGCCCATTAGCTCAGTTGGCATCAAGTCGATATTTTGGTACCTGTTAAGGGGCTCGAAACGAGTTGTCACTTTTGTCAACAGCGGTCAAACCAGGCGGGCCCAAAAATGACTAGTTAGTTGGTTGTAACCTACAGATACAATGTATAATTACTACAGTAAGTATGTCTTTGTTTGCTTTCTTACTTCGAAAGCCCTAAATCAAAATGTCTTATCTGGAACTCTTATCTTTATAGATGAAACGTTTGACTCTCGGGCGGTGGCTTTGTGAGAGCAACCAATGAGCCTAACAGAAGGAACTCTCCATGAAGATTTATTTGTTATCAGTGATACTTGAGCAAGGATACTGCAAGAGTAACGTTGCGTGTACACGGAGAGAGAGAGAGAGAGAGAGAGAGAGAGAGAGAGAGAGAGAGAGAGAGAGAGAGAGAGAGAGAGAGAGAGAGAGAGAGAGAGAGAAAGGGGTGGGAGGGGGCAAAGAGAGACAGAGAGAGACACACACAAAGAAACAGGGAGAGACACACACAAAGGAACAGGGAGAGACACAGAGAGAGAGAGAGAGAGAGAGAGAGAGAGAGAGAGAAAGAGAGAGAGAGAGAGAGGGAGAGAGAGAAAGGCAGACAGGCAAGCTGAGAAAGAGAGAGCGAGTGAGAAATACTAAAAGAGAGAAATAATATATCTTGGCAGCAGATCCTCATATAAATATGTCTTCATTTTACTTTACAAATAGTTTAAGTAACCCTTTAAGTCAGACTCATAACGAGCTGTATCATTATATAACTTAGCATCATCGGACACACTGCGCAGTTGACTTTCTGTCTACGGGTGTGTACATTTGTTAGTCACTCTCCTTTCCATTTAGATTCTCTCCATCGGTCTGTCTGTCTGTTTGCCCCCTTGTCTGCCTGTCTGCCTGTCTGCCTGTCTGCCTGACTTTCTATGTAGAATAAGTTTGGTTTTTTTGTTTCTACATATCCACAAGTCTCATGCAGCATGTATCTATTGTATTACAATGCCTTGTCCTCTGTGTGTGATTATAGGGTGCCAAAAGTTCCTACTTCTTTTCTTTCTCTTTGTTGTTTCTGTCAATCTATCTTGCTAAATGCCCGTTAAACAGTCGATGTGCTTCTCTTTACTCTAAATAAAGCACCCTGTTGCCTTTCAGCCGATTCTCAATATTGACGTTCTCTAATTTGAAATCAAACTTTACTCAACTTGACCTTAGCGTTCGGTGTCCTGCTCAAAGCCACAAACCGATTTGTTTGGCCCTGACAAGCTTTGAAGGCGTTCAAACAAACATGCATTAGTTCCAGCTCTACGTGTTCGTTCATCGCGTTCTGGCTGTCTGGGGCACAGTTTTCAATTAGCAATACCTCGTTTGTTTTGACGTTTTACAAAGTGATGCACGGCAATATCACATTGATATTAGCCTGAACTAAACACCTAATTTAACATGTTTCCTTATTGTGTCAATGTATATCATGACTTTAAAGATCAAATTTGATTTCGTGCTAATCTCACCTTAGATAATCGGTTCGATTTTTTTTTTTTAACATAACACAATAACGTCGAATTTGCCATAAAAAGGTTTGTTTTTGTTGGACATCTATGTCTCGATTCACAGTACAGGTCGTAAGGCTACATTACCGTTTGTTTAAACGAACGCCTAAAAAGAGAATGTTAAGTTTATAAGAGTACTTAAACAGTTTCTCATTATCAACAGTTTTTCTTATGTCGGAAAGAAATTCAATAAATCTGGAATTTTACCGTTAAATTGAAGTTATTCATGTTAGTTTTATTGTTTCTTTGAGTTTGCAAGTTTGAGAAAAGCAAGACAGAAAAACTGTTTCAACAGAGGTATTGTAAAAAATGTAGGGCCTGCATGCTACGAGCGTCTTTCGGCGATTTTAAGTGCTTCTAGGGCATGACATTAATTAGAGAAAAAAAATAGCACAGGAAAACAAGACGAAAGCGTCTCTGGCAAACAAATTTACTACATGTACGAGCTTATAGTGAAAAGTACGCGTAGTGATAAGATTCTTCTTCTTCATGGGTATTCCAGTAGTTGTACGTTACATCTCTCTCTTTACACTGCAATAAAACATTCTGTGTCTTGTCATCATAATAGTTATCTACAGAAGTAGGGACACGTCAAGCGACCAAACTTTGATAATATACAAACCTATATTATAATAATAGTATGTAGCATTAGAATAGCGCAAATTCCCCCTCAACAGCAAACTCTATGCGCTTTACAATCGTTATTATCACATATTATTATGACTCTGTTTGGGTAACTATAATCGGCTTCGGTGGTGTAGCAGTCCGGCGCTTAGCTGTCTCACTCAGGAGACCTGAGTTCGGTTCCCGAATGAGGAGACTCTTAATTGAGTATCTCAATGTTTCTACTGGGATGCTGTATCCCTCTCAGCCCAAGTTGGCCATAGCAGGGCGAAAGTCAGCCTCCTAAATTATTTAAATTATGTCGACAGGGACGAAAAAATCCTACACATTACAATTACAGTTATCTTACACATTACACATACAGAACTAATTTCCGCTGTGAAAAAGTTGAGCATTTAGCTGTTACACAAAAGATTTATCAGTTTGGATCCCGCGATAAGAAATCTGTTTCATCAAGCATTTATGTCTGTCTACTGGAATAGTGTATCCCTTTCAGCCGGTGATTGCCCTGGCTAACAGACACACATACATACACACAAACATACACACACACACACACACTCACACTCACACACATACACAGAGAGAGAGGGAGAGAAAGAGAGAGAGAGAGAGTGGGGAGAGAGAGGAGGGGGAGCAGTCACACACGGAGAGAGAGACAGAGACATAGATACCGAGACAGGGAAGCAAATTCACTATTTCTTAAAAGAAATAATACTTAACGGAAATGTGTAACATCCATTACTTTTCTGTATTCCAGACTGCCTGAGCCCCAAAGCTCCCCACGATCAGAGCCAATGGACGAGCGGACAGACGTGCCCCTGTCCAGGGCCAAAGGGTTGAAGCTTATGACTCAGACCGACTGACAAGCCAACTACTTTCGAAACCCAGAAAGAACTAAAAACGCAAACTTCTTTCTTTAAATTTCAAGCAACTTATTAGTCTTCCTAGTGAAACCTTTCGACTCAATCTACTCAACACAAGAGAAGTGGTCAGCTACTAGAAACAAGAAAACTTCACTCAAGTACAAGCGATAAGACGAAAGTGAACCAAGAACAAATATTTTTATGATCTCTTTCGAAGCGGCGTAGCTCAGACATTCTGTCTTTTACCCTTACCAAAATACCTCATCCACCCAAAACTGTTCAAGCTTAGAACAAAAAGATGGCAGACCAAAACGACGTATCTTCTTTAGGTGTCTCCTTGCACTCGGCAGAAGGACTGAGGCAGAGCCTGGACTCTCTAAAGGGCAGTACCTCGAGCTTCCTGAGTAGTGCTGGTTCCTCCTTCACGTGGTCCACCTCAGAGAACTCCACATGGCCTCGGTCCTGGCGATCACCCAAGAGCGTCTTCAGCCGAAGTTCGAGCCTTTCTCGTCATGGGACTTGTATCCTGCACGCTGGTACAGAAGGTGCTGGGGTTTGTCCTTTTGATGGAGTCAAATATCGGAAAGTGGCTTTCTCCCAATCTCCTTCCCGAACCGGCGGGGCGGCGTTGTATGGTTCGCACGAGATATACAGTACAGCCATTGATCAAACACCATGGACCCTCCATGGTACCCAGAAAGAAAGTGAAACATCTCTACTCGACGCTCCAAGCAGCGGAATGAATAACCAGCTCGATGTCTTTGCGCAAGACTGCAACTCAACAGCAGATATCTTGGAATCAGATCCGCATGGCCTAAACGCAAGTTTTATCTCCTCCGAGAACAACGACAGCGATGACGTGGCCATGAGGATGTCTTCAGCTTTCCAGGATACGGCATTAAGTGGTGATATCTGGCACTTTAGAGCTTCAGCCTCAACACACCGAGGAGATGCGAGCCTGACTAGCAGTGTATCATCGTGCAGATTTGACCAAAGCCTGCACCACCATAAGCAGCGTCCTTTGTTAAGTTCACAAAGGAAGTTCTCCAGAAAAGATTCGAAATTTCGTTCTACTCGCGCTACTCCTTTGTCACGCCGAACGGCAGATTCGAGTTTTCTCCTCGGGGATTACGCAAGTGGCGTTCAAGGAGGGATCAACGACACAAATAGCAGCTACAACAGCAGCTACAGCAACAGCTACAGCAACAACGGAAGCGAATTTTACGAGGAAAAAGCTTCCGATTTTCGCAGACATCTCGAGGAAAAGTACGAGCACTACAAAGAGACATGTGAGTACACGGGACAGGTTTAGCAATGTAAGATGATAGCACTGTTATAATGCTAGCATGTTCTCCCAACCC